GTCTCGACGAACGGATGCCAGTAGTCGAAACTTGTCCCGAGAACCGCTTGTGTCCGCCATCAACGCTGATGATCGCCATTTGTCTTGCGAAATTTAAACCGCTCTCGACGGCAAGTGCTGAGTGGTCGATATCCGTCATAGCTGTCCGACCGAGTGAGGTTATTAATCGCCTCGCCGAATGCCCGACCGCTCCCGGCGTCCCTCTCCGTCCCCGACCCCGTCCCGTCGGTGATTGAACAATGCGATCATGAATCACCACGATGGACAAAGACCACCGCCCGATGACGTCATCGTTTATGTGTCCGCTGTGTAGCGGCTGATTGTCATTCATGTACTGCTGCCGGCCCTAATTACGCGAATGCCCTCGGATGTTAATTAATTTTCCTCCTCTCACGCCTCCCGCTGATGAGTCAGGCCGCAGGCCGTTTCTGCTTCTGCTTCATTTCAGCCTCGTTCGTTGATGGATGGATCGATAAATCGGATCAAAGTGGCAAAAAGCGGCATTGGCTCATTTTCGGCCGATTTAAGCCAGTCAGGTCCTGTCAGTCCGGTCCTGTCGGTCGGTCCGGTCTTTTCTTCTGTTGTCGGCCTCCGCATTCCTCGCATTCCAAAGGCCTCCTCTTGAAACGACGCACTTTGAGTCGCGCGACGATCCTCTCCTAGTCTTACGCGCAATCGGCGCCATACAGCCGTTCATCGCTCTCCTCGCTGCCTGCCCACCGACCGACCACCAGTTTCCCTCTATCCGTGCCTCCGCCTATGTGCCCAGCGTACCGTCTTCCGGACAGTGCCGTGCCCGAGGAGCTGGCTGCTCGCCACGACCCCGTTCTGGCACTGCTTTGGCATCGGTGGGCCTTGTAGGCACATTCACATGCCAAACGGGGGGAGGGGGGCAGTTCAGTTCCGCTGGAAACAGGTGTTCCCCTGTCTCATTAGTCTTTCAGCGGAAGAAGGGTCTGTGGCGCAGAGAAACACAGACAAAAACCGTTGCTTGTTGTGAACGACGATGTGGCCAGCTGCTGGCTGGATGTTGGGCGATCGAAAGATAAAAGACGGCGATGATAAAGGGTCGCCATTGATACTTCTTGCTTCGATGAGTAGAAAGGAACGGCTTTGCTGCCTCGCACATGGCTGCTTGGTGAGGCTGTTTCGATCGGACGGGCGTTCGAAGTTCGCTGGCGGCCGTTGAGGAACTTAACTCGTTTTTCTGACCGACAGCGCACGCGGCACATGCACGCATCGCCTGGTCCACGCAGCGCATGCTGCACATGCAACGATGACGCTTGTCC